TTAATGAGGCATCACAAGTGAGACCATCACTCAAAGGTGAAGTAGAAGTAGTAGTGCTACAAGAAGTGTTAGTGGGAGCAACTATAATGGGTTTATAAAAAGATTCATCAATAAGATCATATGTTAGTCCCACATTACATGATACAATCACTTGCTCCTTCTTGGCTTCCTCTTTGACTTGCTCGATGAGAGAGGAGTGAGCTTTCTCAAGCTTAGAGTGAGCTTTGCTAAGCTTCTCATGGGCTTCCATTAGCCTCTCATGAGTGGCATTGAGCTCATCAAGGGATTGCTCAAGAAATTTAACTTTCTTGTTTAATTCCTTGCACTCCTTTCTCTTCATCTCAAAGCAAGTATGCACTTGCTCACACATGTCCATGAGCTCCTCCTTGGAGTACTCCTCATCATCATCATCACTCCTACAAGCATCACTTTCACATTCATCATCATCACTCACATCATATTTTACTTTGGTAGGTTTTGCCATGAGGTATGTCAAAGGAGTGTCGAAGATGGAGGGCTTGTTGTTGATGGTGATGCTTGCTAGTGCTTTCTTGATAGATTTTTTGCCATCATCACTAGAGTCATCACTATCTGAAGAGCCATTACTATCCCAAGTGACCACATAGCCTCCACCCTTCTTCTTCTTTTGGAAGGTCATTCTCTTCTCCTTCTTTTCTTTCTTATCCTCCTTGTGCTTCTTCTTCTCATCCTCATCATTATCACTATTGTAGGGACAATTTGCTACAACATGATCGGGGCTCTTGCAATTGTAGAATCTTCTCACATATTCTTTGCTTTTGGTGTGATCTCTTCTCTTTCTTGCACCATAGCCCTTCTTCTTCATGAATTTTCCCGTCTTGCGTACAAAGAGGGCCATAGCTTCATCATCAATATCACTAAGATCATCATCATCACTTGATTCTTTCTTAGACTTGCCCTTGTTCTTCGATGATGATGAGCTAGCCTTGAATGCTATACTCTTCTTCTTCTTGTCTTCTTCTTCCTTCTTGTCATCCTTGTCATCCCCCTCCCTTTCCACACGGTATGTCTCTTGGGTCATGACATCACCTAGTACTTGGTTAGGGGTAATCTCCTTCAATCCTCCTCTTATGATAAGCAATCTCAACATCTCAAATCTTGGAGGTAAGCACATCAAGAACCGATGAGAGACATCATCATCCTTGATCTTCTCTCCCAAGGCCTTCAAGTCATTTACATTCACTTGCAACCGATGGAACATTTTCGGAATGCTCTCATCTTCCTTCATCTTGAAGCTTGTCAACTTATCCTTGAGAATGTATAACTTAGCACTCTTTACCGCCGGTGTGCCCTCATATGTTTCCTCCAATCTCCTCCACACCTCATTTGCTCTTTCACAATCTTTGATTTGCTCAAACACTTTAGAATCAATGGCATTGTATATGGTGTTGAGAGCCATTGTATTACATTGCTTGTTGGTCTTGTCTTGGTTGGTGGGGTCATCAGGATCAATAATAGCATAGTCATTCTCAGTCGCCTCCCATACTTGATCATTGATTGAACTAAGATACATCCTCATCTTTCTCTACCAATAATCATAGCATGTGCCGTCAAAGAACGGTGGTTTGCCCCCCACATGGTTGAACACAACTTGAGCCATAATTTGACACCGATGTTGTTAAGCCTTCAATCAAACGGTGACCACGGCTCCGATACCACTTCAAAGGTCCTAATATGGCTAGAGGGGGGATGAATAGCCTATTTAAAAATCTACAAATCAACTAGAGCAATTTGATTAGTATAACAAATAGCGAAATGTAAACTTGCTCTAGCTCTACAAGGGTTGCAAGCTACCTATCCAACAATTCTAGTTGCAATGATTACTAGGCACACAACTTGCAAATGTTACTACTCACTAAGAGCTCTCAATCTTGCTACTCTAAAGAGCTCTACTAGATGAACTTAAAATAACAAAGCAAGCTCTCAATTCTAATTACACTAAAGAGCTTGCCATAACTAGTTTGCAAGAATATAAATGAGCGAGTAGGGTGATTATACCGCCGTGTAGAGGAGTGAATCAATCACAAGGTGAATATTAAATCAATCACCGAGAGAATACCAAATGGCAAGAGACAACCAATTTTCTTCCGTGGTTCACGTGCTTGTCAACACGCTACGTCCCCGTTGTGTTGACCAACACTTGGTGGTTCGGCGGCTAAGAGGTGTTGCACAAACCTCGTCCACACATTTTGGATACTGCAAGAACCAACCCACAAGTGAGGTAACTCAATGACACGAGCAATCTACTAGAGTTACCTTTCGGCGCTCTGCCGGGGAAGGTACAAATCCCCTCACAATCACCGAAGATGGCCACGAATAATCACCGACTCGTGCCGATCCTTCTCCGCTGCACCAAGCCGTCTAGGTGATGGCAACCACCAAGAGCAACAAGTGAATCCCGCAGCAAAACACGAACACCAAGTGCCTCTAGATGCAATCACTCAAGCAATGCACTTGGATTCTCTTCCAATCTCACAATGATGATGAAACAATGATGGAGATGAGTGGAAGGGTTTTGGCTAAGCTCACAAGGTTGCTATGTCAATACAAATGGCTAAGAGAGTGAGCTTGAGCCGGCCATGGGGCTTAAATAGAAGCCCCCACGAAATAGAGTTGTTGTACCCCTTCACTGGGCACAACACAGGGTGACCGGACGCTCCGGTCAGATCGACCGGACGCAGGACCCCAGCGTCCGGTCGCCCGATGCTTGTAGGGCGGACTCTGAACCCAGCGTCCGGTCACTCTATGAACTCCTGTCTTTTCTGTATAGGGCGCCGGTGAAGTTTCTAACCCTTGCTCAAATGTGCCAACCACCAAGTGTATCACCTTGTGCACATGTGTTAGCATATTTTCACAAGCATTTTCAAGGGTGTTAGCACTTCACTAGATCCTAAATGCATATGCAATGAGTTAGAGCATCTAGTGGCACTTTGATAACCGCATTTCAATACGAGTTTTACCCCTCTTAATAGTACGGCTATCTAACCTAAATGTGATCACACTCGCTAAGTGTTTTGATCACCGAAATAAAATGGCTCCTACTATTTATACCTTTGCCTTGGGCCTTTTGTTTTTCTCTTTCTTCTTTTCAAGTTCAAGCATTTGATCATCACCATGCCATCACCATCGTCATGATCTTCGCCATTGCTTCATTACTTGGAGTAGTGTCACCTATCTCATAATCACTTTGATAAACTAGGTTAGCATTTAGGGTTTCATCAATTAACCAAAACCAAACTAGAGCTTTCACCGTATCCGGCAAAGAATCACCGGATCCAGCTAGTAGGCCGCCGGATCTAGCCCTAAGCCTCCAGATCGAGAGGGGATCCATGCTGCCCACTCCGCCATGCCGCACAGCCGCCGACCCCAAGGACACCGGATCCAGCCACAGGGACACCGGATCCGGCCTCCATCACCCCGAATCTGCCGACCTGAGCCACCGTAGCAGGCGCCTCAGCTGGCCAGCGTCAAAGGGGATCTGGTCGCCATCACCGCAACACGTCGGAGCCCGTGCCAGGCACCTTGCAGATCTAGTCTTCGCGCACGCCGGAGCAGCCTCCTCTCATTCCCCTTGTGGGATCCAGCCGAGATCGGCCAGCAGCCCGGCCAAAGCGGCCATGCCCGACCGGAGCCAGTGCAAGGGGGGAGGAGGCAGTTGGAGAGAGCGCGGGCACCACGTGGGCATGCTCGGCCGCCGAGCACCGCGGCCGCCCGCGCAGATTCGGCCACCGGACCCTAGAGCAGGCCCGGTCACGCTGCTCGACGCAGCCCGCCGGGATAGGAAAGGAGGGAGGAAGGAGAGTGATGGGTGAGGAGGAGAGCGAGATTGCCGCGCCGCCGCCCTCCTCGCTGCTCGCCGAGCCTCCGGCTGGCAGCTCCGACGGCGGCGCAGGCGCCGCTAGGGTTGCGGGGATGCGGGTGCGAGGGCTGGGAGAGCCGCCCGAGCCGCCCGTCGGGACGACGCGGGGGCAAGAGTCCTTCTGCATGTGTGCTTTCAAGAAAATTCATGGAGGATTATGGCAAACATTTGCAACTAGCACTAAGGCCCCGTTCGCTTGGAGGAATTTGGATGCTTTTGGACGAATCTGGAGAAATTTGTGAGAGAAAAACATTGTTCCAGATGAAAAAAGAAATGGATCAAGCCGGGTTTAAGGGCACGCGAACGGGGCCTAAAAGTTTTTGGGAGATGACCGTCAACAAGTTAAATAACTCTATGATGCTAGTTAATGGTATGGGTGCGCTGATTTTACACGAAAAAGTATGAAAACACAAAGAAACGATCAATATTTTGACCGATTTATTGTTCACACCTATCTTCGTCAGTCAAGTTAAACGGAGCAACACAAATATCGAAACGATCAATATTTTGACTGATTTCTTGTTCACACCTATCTTCGTCAAGTTAAACGGATCAATAGTAACAAAGAAGCTGATTACCTGTTCGCACCTAAACGTGATTACCATTTTCCAAACCAAGCAACAAATATCGAAACGATACGAATCGCAATTACAAGAGGAAAGCTTGAAAACACCCTGTCACGCATCCTCAATTAAACTCCTTCCGGATTTCGACTGTTCGTACTCGTTAATCACCCCCAGGCCCCACATGCTGCGACGCTCGCACACCGAAGCTAATCAACGGAGGAGGAGCTGTGGACGGCGTGCATACTCGTTAATCACCTCCGGACCCCACCTGCAGTGACAATACATGCCTCCACTAAACGCCATCGAACAGCTCCGCAAAGCCGCCTCCATGACCCGAGCTGAGCAGTGTTCAAACTTTCAAACATTCAAACGAGAGGGGAAAACCCTAGACGAGCCCCCTGCAACGGTCGGATCCATTCCTATATAATAATCCCTCCGCCGCCTACCCCCTCCTCATCCCATCTCTGCTCTTATTCGCATCCCATCCACAAATCCACCGCATCGCATCAGGAGAAGGTAAGCAGACGAGGGGGGAGATGGAGGCGGCGACGGCCATGGAGTTCCACACCCTCTCGCGACGGGAGCTCCAGGCGCTGTGCAAGCGCAACGGCGTCCGCGCCAACATGACAAACGCCGCCATGGCCGAGGCGCTCCAGCGCCTAGATTCGGTGAGTTCTCGATTCCATTCGCGTACGTTCACGAGGCCTGTTAGGTTTGGAAATGGTAGTTGATGTGGGGGGTTTGATTGTCGATCAGGTCGACGGGATCGACGAGATCGGCACGACTCTCTGTCACCCGACGCCAGGAAGGTCGGCGATGAAGTCGGCGGCGAAGATGGTGGCCGTCGAGGAGCAGCAGCACGGTAGCCCGCTCCCCCGCGGCCGCCGCGTATCTGTGAAATCACCAGAGGCCATCCGGATGGAGGTTGAAGGAGGAGCGGACGAGATGAAGGAGATCGTGAAGACTCCCGGCGTGGCGCTGCGCAGCACCCGCCGCGGCACTCGGGCCACGCCCGCGCCGCTTCCTACTCCGGTGCCGGCGTGCAGTACGCGCGCAACAGCGAGGAGGACCGCCGCTCGTAAGACGGGCGAGGTGGCGCCGACCCCAGCCACCTGGAGGAGCCAGAGGACGGCGTCTCGCAAGGCCGCGGGGGCAGTGGAGGCGGGCCGACCCGCCGAAGATGTACCCGAGGAAAAGACATCGAAGATGACGATAGCTTTGGATCAGGAAGCCGAAGTGGTGGCGGCCGCATCGAAGGAGAAGGTGCAGCAAGGCGAACCGAAAGGTGAGAGGATTTCATTTCCCAGATCGACTTGCTTGTTGCTTCTACTGTCCGATTGTTTGTGGACAGCCTTTTTATGCTGATTTCGTTATCAATGTAGCTGCTGTCTCGGATGTGAAATGTGATGGCCCAAAGGAGGAGAAGGGGCAGCAAGAGGAACCAAAGGGTTAGAGGATTTCACTTCCCTGATTGCTTTGGTTCTACTGTTCAATTTTTATGGGGACAGTGTTTGATGCTGGTTTTGTTATCATGTAGTTGTTGCCTCGGATGTGAAATGTGACGAGGAGGAGGAAATTGCCAAGTTTTTGGAAGGAGACAACAAAGAGAAGGAACTGGAGGAGGGTGAGGAAGGTGAAAATTATTTTTGCACTCTATCTGTTAACCTGAAAGTTTCAATGTTCCTTGTTTGCTCTGTAATTCGAAATTTACTGTTAGGTATTGTTCCTAAGCAGTCAGTGATCTTACTTCTTGAATGCACAGCTGATTCTTCTGATGCAGCCACAGCGTCTGCAGCTGTTTTGGTTCAGAGCTGCAATGATCCTAAGGTGGAGGAAGTGGTGGTTGTCATGGAGGAACAGTCCACAAAGCCCCACGAAGGTGAGAGGCATTCCGAAATACTGTCGTTTGTACCTTGAATTGTTGTCTGCAGTTATTGAGATTCTGACAATGTCATCTTGAAATTTATCCATATGGTCTTTGTTAGCATACTCGAGACCAACCATTAGTTTCTTGATTTATCTGTAGTTGTTGTCTTGTTGAGGCTCTGAACCAGGACATTTTGAAATCAACCCATTTGTTCTTTGTCTGCATGCTTAATCCGGCCATAAGTTCTTTGATGTATATGTACTACACGTTCTTAATTGTTGCTTTTTTCAGTCGTTATTTGATGAGTTTCTGAACTATGTGCGCTCGTTGAACCCTTTTTACTAATTGTGCATTCTGATTCTGATGCGTCACTGTCAGGAATTGTGAAAGAGCTGGAACCTATCAGTGTTGAGAGATCTGCTCTTTTGACAGTCATGGATGATTCACCCATCCTAGGTGTCATTGAGAAGGAACAGGATGCCTCGGTTGAAGATTGTGAGGACCTGGCTGAATTCGCACCTGCAAGGGAGATGACTGATGAGATCATTCCTGTTACTGAAGATAAGGAAGTGGCCATCAGGGAGGAGGTTGTTACTGAAGATAAGAAAGTGGCCATCAGTGAGGAGGCTACTGAAGATAAGGAAGTAGCTATCAATGAGGAAGTGGACGTCAATGAGGAGGCCGTCAAGGAAGATGGTTTTGCTAACACTGTTGAGACTGATCCTACCCCAGAGGAGATTCTGACTGCTGCGGGAGAAGATGAGGCCATTGAGGAAGGTGAAGTCATACTCACTGAAGGCAAAGAAGGTGCTGCTGATGAGATGCCACAGGCTGGTGAGACCAGTGAAGAAGATGAGGAAGATTACCTCACTGAATTGAAACAAGGGGCTGCTGATGAGGTGGCTGAGCTGGCAGATAATGAAACAAGTGAAGAAGATGAAGATGACCTAACTGCAGAGAGAGAAGGAGCTGCTGCTAAGATGCTGCAGGGTGAACTGACAGACGATGAGGCCAGTGAAGAAGACGATCTCGACGAAGATGAGGAATGGGCTTCAGATGATGATGAGACCACTGAGGAAATTGGCTCTACTGATGAGAGCGATGAAGATACTGATGGGACCATTGGTGCAGTCCAAATGTTGCAGGGAACTGGGATAGCTGAAGAGGCCAACGAAGATGCCTCTACTGAAGATGATGATTTCAGTGGCGACCTACCACCAGAGTTTGACAATATCATGGTATTCAGTGATGCTGAAACTGAGAGTGACATTGCTGCTCCAGTGCTCGAGGAAAACCAGGCTGCTGTTGCATCTGCAACCAAAACTGCAAAGTCTCTGGATGATTCTGCCATGAGTTTAGAGCAGGAGGAGGGTCCTGAGGAGGCTGATGCTACTGAAAAAGCATTGAAAGCTACTGAAAAAGCATTGAAAGAGGTTGACAACATTGTGAAGTCCCTGGATGAGTTCACCTTCAAGGAGGGAGAATCAGAGGAGATGCAGAAGCAGCAGCCACAGGATTATAATAGCATGAGCCTAAGGAAGCTTAAAAGCACGTACAAGAAATGTCTTATTGCTGCAAAGGTATAAAACTAATCGGCTCATACCGTGTGCACTCATTTAGCATTGTCGTTCGTGGCTCTTTCTTTACTCATTGTTTTTTTTTTATCTGTAGCAGGAAGGGAAGCAGGAGGAGGTCACCGAAGGGAAGAGGCTTCCTCTCGAGGAGGTGGATGAGAACGCCTGCATCAACCACTGAACAGAACAAGCAGGCGACAGGTCACAAAATTTTCGTGTGGATGGCATCTGCCACAACGGGATTGAATCGAGGAATGCTTTGGTTGTGAAGTGATAACTAGGCTACCTTATGTTCATTTCCAAAAGTTTTCGTGTGTGTGTGGGGAGATCATGATGGGGTGAAACCGTGGTTTCAGCCAACAAACTTGCAGTTCCTGTCGCTTCTCCCTTTTTTTCTTTATATATATATATATATATATTTTTTTTTTTGTATCGGTTACAGAACATGGTTTATCCAGTGGTATGCTGATGAATGATGCTATGTTTTGCTTAATAATGTATATGAAGGAGAGTGCCTCAATTTTTGTCCACACTTTAAATTCAGGGTTCAGAGCAAGAAAGGATATCTATCAATTTATGAAGCTCACTGATGATGTTATTAAATGTAAATGCTTATTTATTTATTTTCTATCTGGTGACCCTGAACTGTTCTCACTTGTATGATCACAGAGTTTCATCAACTTTTCTTGTCACGCTCTCACTTTTTTATGTCTATTTGTCTGTTAATTCCTTCTTTATTTTCTGTAATTTCAAGAGTTGCATGTCAGTCCTCGGCTCATCTTTGTCAGATCAAATTATACAATTGAGGTAAGGTTCCCCCCTTGTCATTGTCTACCTATATATGGTTTTTTCTTAACATTAGTATGCTTGATGAAAGACTGTAGAAGCTGAGAGGATATCTGTGGACCATGTTGCCCATCTCAAACCATCTGATGGTGGCTCAGCAGCAACTCAGGCGCTGTTTGGTATGATTTTGCCCCGTAAACAGTTCCCCCTGATGTCTGATTCCGTGGCTGGTCCTGCATGTAATCGATTCGCAGCGTGACCTGATACAGCGCTTCATAAAGTTATTACCGCCCACCAGCGAGTGGTATGCGATCCCATTAGCAGTCAGCCACTCGATGAAGTCGTGGTGTGATGAACCAAACAAAACACGTAAACAACCGTTTCACTCCCATTCACAGCGTGACATGATCCCCTTTACGTTTGTGTTGGCTCTACTTGAACCAAACAGCACCTCAGTGTAAGGATTCTACTTTGAAGCCCTCTCTCAAGACAATGCCAATGGGGGTGTCTTCACCGTGAGCTTTCTCAACATTAATAGTCATACTATCCAAGGTATTTTCTGGGCAGAACTGTACTAAGCGATGCTTTTGTGCAGTGGCTGCTCATCTTACAGGAATACACAGTGCCGTCAAGATGTTCAATAGCAGGGTCCGTGTTATCCATCAGTATCTGTTGCCATGCAAAAAAAAAAGGTCCGTACATATATGAAGTGCTACATTGCTTTTTTTCTCTCGTTACTGAGATAATGCTATATTGTGCTAGTTCTCCAAAACATGCTTCCATTCATCTTTAAACCTAAACCTTTATAGAACTTTAATTTCCCAAACTTATTGACGTTCCTGTTGGACTTTTGGCTTGAGAAACTTAACTGCAAAGCCTTTTCTTCAACTGCAGGTGACATTCCAGTGGATAATTCGCTGCTTAGGCAAGTCTCAAGCCTCGTAAGAAGGCTACCAGCTATGGAGTCACAGAAATTCCAAGATGACTTCTTAATGGTATGCTAGTTTCATTTCTCATCTTAGACAAAGTGCTCTCTTTTGATATGTAAAGATATTTCCTTATAAACATACCAGCTATGTTGCCAGTAATGATCGATTATATGTAGTTTTCTCAATTTTCTCAATGTTGCATATTTGACCCTGTATAAGTAATTATGATGATTCATTGTTTCCAGGAATACAACGACACTCTCCTCGTGACTTACCTGGCAATGTTCACTAACTGTTCAACTCTTTCACAAATGAAGTTCCTTCTTCTATACCCTCTTTGTTGGAAATTTCACTTGTGTTGATTTCAACTTTATAATTTGCAGCACAATGAACGAGTTGGTCGAGAAGATCAACACAAGCTCTGAGAGACCGACTACCAGGAGAGGAGGCCGAGGTGCTTTCATGTAGAGCTCTGCCGTGATCCTGCTGCTTCTTTCATCTGTGGAGATTTTTGGAAATAGCTTATGTCCCGAGGCATTTTTTTTTTGCATGCAATCTATTATGTGCAATCGGGCTATACATCAGCTCTTGAGTCACTTCAAACTTTCTAGGCAAAAATGATGATTTGCTCGAATTATATGAAAATCCCACTTGTGCTGAAGTTGATCTGTAAAGTTCCTCTCCAAGTTATTCTATTTGACTCTGAAATGGATATTGATGCTGGTTTGCGTCATGCTCATGGTTAGCAAAACTTAAATCATTTGTTACGCTGCTTGATGTAACGTTATGATTGATGAGCACGGCAGAACGCAGCTGACCCGATCATATTGTCAGAATTATATATTTTGTGAAGATTAGTAGAGGATATATCTGAATATTCAGAAAGAAGAATCAGAAGAAATTAGCTGTGATGTAATCAGCCAATGCTCCTATTGACGGCTTCCTTCTTAAATTATCATCAAAATAAGAAATGAAGAGGTACGATAGAATCCTGAAGAAATCGTCCAAAAGAAAGGGTGACATAGAATAGTTCTTTGACACAAGGAACCGTAGATCAATGGTACGTGTTTAATTTAATCAAAAGAAAAATAGGGCATTATGTAGGCCTGTTCGCTTGAACTTATCAGCCGGCTTATCAGCTAGAATCTACAGTATTTTTCTCTCACAACAAAACAGCTTCGGCCGGCTTATCAGCCGGCTTTAATACCAACCAAACAGACCCGTATAAACTCAAATGGCAATAACAAGACATACACCGAAGAAAACGAATGTTGGGTTGACACTTCTGCAACCCATGTCGCAGCCTCGCAGCGCTGCCACAGATGGGTTAATCCTGCACATCTACTGAGTACTGAAGAAGAAAACGAATGTCTGCTGCCACAGATGGGTTAATCCTGCACATCTACTGAAGAAAACGAATGTCTGGATGACACTTGTTCCTGCAGCCCATGTCGCAGGCGTTGCAGCAGATGGTTATTCCAGGCTTTCGCTCCAGAACCTCTGTAACTGTCGTCACGACGTTGAGCCACATCCTTACCGACGCCAAGCCACTGCAGCCCTCGGAACAGCGGTGGCTCCAAGTGACAAAGTGTCTCAGGACGACTCCACCTGCCGCGGTGGCTCAAAGTGTCTCAGGGAGTACAGTGTTTTGTGAGCCAGAGTTTTTTTTTTTTTTTTTGAGTGGAAGTTTTGTGAGCCAGAGCTGAAATTCTCGGGAGCAACACCAAACAGGGCCTAAGCTTAAACTGGGGGGCAAAAATCCATTACAAGCCTTTGGACAATGAAAGCTGAGATGCGACTCGGCCCAGTTCACGACGGCCCAACTGCAGCCTTGTCGGGACGGCCGTAATATAATACCCCACTCGATCGAAGCCATCGCCCCTGGAACCCTAGCTCTCGCAACTAACTGCCGCCGCCACCCCCACGCCCGCAGCCATGCCGCCCAAGCTCGACCCGTCGCAGGTGGTGGAGGTGTTCGTCCGTGTGACCGGCGGCGAAGTTGGCGCGGCGTCTTCGCTGGCCCCCAAGATCGGCCCGCTCGGTCTTTCCCCCAAGAAGATCGGAGAGGACATCGCCAAGGAGACGGCCAAGGACTGGAAGGGCCTCCGCGTCACCGTCAAGCTCACCGTCCAGAACCGACAGGCCAAGGTCTCCGTCGTTCCCTCCGCCGCGGCGCTCGTCATCAAGGCGCTCAAGGAGCCCGAGAGGGACCGCAAGAAGGTCAAGAACATCAAGCACAGCGGCAACATCAGCCTCGACGACGTCATCGAGATCGCCAAGACCATGAGGCCCAGGTCTATGGCCAAGGAAATGGCCGGCACCGTCAAGGAGATTCTCGGTACCTGCGTCAGCGTCGGGTGCACCGTCGACGGCAAGGACCCCAAGGACCTGCAGCAGGAGATTGACGATGGCGAGGTGGAGATCCCGTCCGCTTAAGAAGGTATAATGAGCAAATTTCTGTTGTTTGGTTGTAATATTGATGAACCATTTTGCTTTGTCGTTTGGAATCTGTAGCCAATACAGTTAATGTTGTGCTTTGTTCACGTTCACGTTCCCTTCTGCTTATGTTAATGGGAATTGCCTTCATTTAAGCGATGATGCACCAGTGATCCTTTTTTTCATGAATTGCTAGAATGTGATCAACATAGCTAGTAAGTGTGGCTCGGGGGTGTTAGTTGCTGTTCAATCTTCAAAATTGAAGGACTTAGTGTTAGTGTTTATTAGTGTACTGAATGAATTATGCTTTTATCTCTCGCTGAATGCTGTTTCAGTTATGGATGCCATGTTCGTATTCAGTAGCTTGACACAGTTCCTTTTGTAACCTTGCAGGATTGGAGGCGAGGAGGGTTTGTCTTGGTCTGCTGAAGTAATTCTCCCTACCTAGATTTTCCCTTATTTAGTTGAGGTGGGGGGTGGAGGTTGGACGTGGACGTTATCACAGCAGAGTTCTGCTTAGAAACTTTGTCATGCTTAAGTCTTTGAAACAATTTATGTCAAATTTTATGAACATTCCTAGGTACAATGAAAGTTACCAATGCCTGAGTTTTGTTGGAAATTTTCATGCATTGTTTAAATTCTGACTATATTGCATGGCCTGTTGGTGATTTGCCTGATTAGTGATTACATCGTTGAAGCACATAGGAGTAGCTGAAATATATTTCTGCTACCATTGCTATCGTCAAAGCAGTGTTTTTCAGTAACTGCACTGCACAAGGCCCAAGCTGGATGTGGCAGCGATGAGATTTTTCCTGCTCCAAACTCACTATATGCAGCTAAACAATGTGCTGAACTTCAAGCCTGTGGGCAAGCTTTAACTCACATTTTGAAAAGATGCCTTAGAAATCTTGCTTCTTCGATTTGAATAACACACCCAGGTTGGATTTGTCAAAGCGTCTGTAGTGATCGCTTGTTTCTGCATACAGCAGCTTACCTGTTGATTAATACTTCCATGAGCTTTGATGGTTTGCCTGAGTGTCCGTTGGCTGTAATCCTGTCCCCCCAGTATCCCTCATTTCCATCATTTGATGCATTCCTGAGTGTCGTCCTGCATTATCATATCAATTCATGCGACAACAGAGAAGTGTGTCTTGTTGTCAGCTGCACTTATATTTCTTCAACAGTGCTGAGTATCCATCATTTCCATGTCAATTCATGCAACCCTGAGTATCGTCCTTCATTCCCATATGGGCAAATCAATTCATGCAACAGAGTAGTCTCCTATTTCTGTTACAATGCTGTCAAGGAGAAATGCAACCCAAACCTGCTGTCATTCAGAGCCACGCCTCATCGTTAATTTTATGCACAAATGCGGTCAACAAATCTCGATCTGAGCTTAAAATCTAGCATGAACAGTCCATTTGTCGTCTTACTGCAAAATAATATCTATACTTTTCATATCAAAGTTTATCTGTCTCCATTCACTCAAAAATCATGTCTAGTTTTAACAAAAAATAGTAGGACGTGATGAATTAGAATTGATGTTCAGTCTCTCAGACCCAAACTCACGAGTTGTGTTTATAGAAGTTAAAATAGCGTGTGTCCATTTCACCGTAAACAGAATTGGTGTTTAGTCTGATTTCAAGACATTGGAATAGATGTTTCTGCTGCAATTGCAAGTTTGCAACGCGCTGACATGTCTCGCTGACACTTGCATCCATTACATCAACGCCAGTACGCCACGGCGCATTCCGATTTCAATGATTCTCACACTCTGTGCCAAAGAGATTTCAAAGATTTGAGACGCACATGCCATGCCATTGCAAAGGCTTCAATTGAGCAGGGCAATTAGAAGATGTAGGGGACGAACGCCTTCCGCGACGCCGGGTACTCTGCCCCGAACTTGTGCAGGTACCGCTGGCGGTGGTCCCGGGCCCTCGGGCCGAGGTTGGCGCAGGTGTAGAGGAAGAACGCTCACGCCGCCGGCGTCCACGCCACCACGGCGAAGCCCAGCCACTCTACGGTCTCGCCGAAGTAGTTGGGGCAGGTGACGAGGTCGAACCACCCGCCCCTCGGGATCTTGTACCCGCCGCCGGCCTCCTTGAGCCGCAGGAGCTCCTTGTCCGCCGCGATGTTCGTCCGCATCCCCCACGCGAAGAGGGCCAGCCAGGCGATGCAGCGAGCCAGGGCGGAGCGGGAGGCCGGGCGGGCCGCGTGGAGCGCGAAGGAGCGGGCCTGCGCGTAGGCGTTGAGGAGGTTGAAGGCGAGGGCGCAAGCGGCGACGAGGACCGGCACGGGGGCCGGGGCGCGGCGCAGGCGGGCGAGGCGGAGCGGGTGGACCAGCGTGCGGTGGACGTAGTGGAACGCGTAGAGCGCGGCGGGGAGTGCGGCGAGCGGGCTGGAGAGCGGCGGCGGGGTGGAGCGGAGGAGGACGAGCGGCGGGAGCCATAGGGTGGGGCTCTCCATGAGGAACCACGCGAGCGGGGCCCCAGCCCGGTCAGGAGAGCTTGCCGTACGGCGCGGAGACGAAGCGGAGCGCCAGCACGGTGAGCGGGCTGATGAGGTACAGCGCCAGCAGGCACCGCTCGAACACCGCGTCGCCCGAGGCCGCGGCAGCCGCCTGGTCGGGCATCCCTCCCTCCCCAGGAGGTTTTGACCTTTGTGGGGTTTGGGGACGAGTGCGGCGGCGGCGGCCGAGCCGAGAGAGAGCGTGGGGCGGGGACGAGCGCGGATAGCGGTCGCGCTAGGGCGTTAATCGCGAGGGGGGTTCCGGGTTCCGGGTTCCGGCCGATCCTCGTTTGTACCATGCCATCTGGCTTGCACAAAAGCAGGTCCTCCCGTCGCAGCCTCGCTGCAGGTGGACTCCCTTTCTCCTCACTTTCCAATTCCTTCAGTTCTTCATTCACTCTGGTTTTGGAATTCAGGGTACGTCCTTGACGTGCCACCCCCGACATTGCCGTCGACCCCTCGGCCGTGCGTGGCCTCACCTGACTGACCGGGATGGAATGACAGCCGGCCATCGGTGCCCACAGTCAGATGAGTGCCCCCATACTACCCAATGCTCTGTTCTTCCTCTATTTAACTGCATTATGTGTTGTGTGTGTGTGTAGTTGACTAGGTTTTCACCTGATTTGATCCACTTGTGATACTGTTTGTGATATTGTGATCCAATGGGATGTCTAGTTGTATAGCAGGCCACGGTCAGGCCTTTCATAATCCCATACGAAATGTTGTTCTGCGCTGGAATAGGAGATCCTGGAAACAGGGTGGCACAAGTCACAATTCTATTAATGTTTTTACTAGACAAGCTGATACTTTTCTGTGATTTAGATGTTCCTACTATTGTAATCTCTACTGGTGTGTTCATGCTGTCCAGGTACTAGTCCTCTTACCTTTGATTTAACAGAGGGTTCTCGCCTGGTGATGCAAGCTGTGTTCTTGTGCCAATCCTTGCGGAAGATGCAGGGACACAGCTGGTGGCTGTAACCTGAGTGTCTGGGCTGCTTCCTTGGCCTGCATCTGCTCCTGCACCTTCCATGACAACTTCCTTCTCATTTTGTATTTCTGATGCTTCCTCCATGGAAAAGTTATCGTCCTGAACCTCATCATCTGGTACCACTGCTAAGGATGATGATGCCTTCTTTGTTTCGCCGCTTTGGCTTGGTATCTTCCTCCTTTTTCTTCTTTCTTGGGTTCTTCTATAATTTCAGATTCCATGGCTGCAAATTGTTAGACCATCAGTAACTTTTGGGAGAGAGCGACTAGCCTTTTTCCTTTGAAAGACATTATATTGACAGATTGCAATTGGCCATTACTAGAATGATTTGCAGATGGGCCATGAAGATTAAAGGCAGCAAGACGGTCTTTTAGTCCAGGCATGTGCTCATCGCATCACTCACAGGTGCACTTGCCTCAATTTAAAAAAAAATGTAATAGATACAAGATGGTAAACGACACACTTTTAGATGCAAGATGGTAATAGAGAAAATTGTTTATAACGAAACATAAAGATGGATGGACAATCAATGCATACTTTGCTCCGGAGTGTCATACTTCCGAATGTAGTCATCCTGGCCAAGCAAGTGCATATTTGTTGAACCAATTTGTCAGCTTAAATTTCTTCGCCAGCCCTTGTCACTTAGCTATATCAATATTTTCCTCACTTAATATGATGACAATGTAAATATCCTCAGCATCACTCAAATGATTAAAAAACAGCAAGTAAACCCAAGTGATAGAGTTCTTTAAATAAACACCACAATTATTGATTCCTTATTCGAGTTCTTGCTGTGTGGAGCCAATGGCTCGAGAAATTGTTCATAATCCTGAGTCCAGCAGCATATTGGCAGCTCTGTTATTCTCAGCGTAGTGCTGTCAAGAGCCTCTATAATACTGGTGATGGTATCCGTGACACCAGCTGCCTTTTTTCTTGTCTTCTCAATATAGATACCTATTTGTTTGGGGAAGAAAATTTTCATTGCATAATACAACTATAAATTGTCCTATCTAAAAAGGCCCACGCCATAATGCAAAAGAATTATGCAGGCTAACTCATTTTACTGACCTGGGAACCCCTGTACCAAGGGTGCATGGGTTCAGTACACTCATCAATTCATCATTCAGCAACCGTCTCAGGTTAGCTCCATCCGTTGCCGCTTCCTTTGGTTCCATTGACTAAACCATGGGAAGGATCGGCAGATACCTATGGATACAGAGTCATGTTTTAACTGATTATATCACTATGTAGATGCAAACATTCAGAGTGGATCATCTAAAGCTATTACTACCATGTGGGTTCAATTGATTTTCCATCTCTCTGCAGATAGTTCAGCAGACCGTCGTCATCCTCCAGGTAAATCGACCAAGTGATAGGCGACAATTTGGTGAACATGTTCTCGGTGTCGCAACTGTCTCCTCGTCTCTGGAATGAAGACATAAATATGCAAACAAGGACGGCAAGACTGGATCACAGAGCACAAGATTATCCCATCCCAAAGCTGTTATCCTACCTGATATCTGGTACCGAAATGGCCTCCAGTGTTGTTAGTTCCTACAAAGCGTTGAGCCATTCCAATGAGTTTATCCCCTAGACTCTCTTCTGCCTTGGCAGCATGCAGAGTATTCTGCCACATATAACCACAGAATTGAGAAACTTGTAGCCAACAGACCAAGCGAAATGGTAACAAACCACTGATGGTCTGTAATAATAATATATACAAAAATTGTAAAAATATATATATGCTTGATGCCACACATTTGCTTCCTTTACTAAGTTCCTCTTGAATGTGCAGAACAAGATCTTCCTCTGGTCAGGCGACTCAGGCGTAAGGCCATCAACCATTGAAGGAGCCGATGATCTCTGCTGGTATTCCGTGGAGAACAGAGCGCAGAGCGTTGGCTCTTTTCTGCCAATCTAGCTATCTACCCCTAGGCAAGGGTGCAGCAACGGAGGAAGAGGAAGAAGCCTCGGGCAGAAGTGGAACAGCGAAAATGGTTCACTTTAGGGAGTGCTGTCTAGGGATTTTTCAAATTCATATGCGCGCAGTTCTGGACACGTACCAAACATTTCAGGGTTTTAAATTGAAATGCATTGATCTGGGCACGTAACAAAAATTTCAGAAGTAAGAAGAAAACAAATGCTCACCAACGATGGGCTGTTTCCTTGCCCTTGGTTACATGTGTAACAGAAGGCGTCCGTATCTCTTCCTGTTCGATCTCCGCGGGACCCAATAGCTTACTGTAAAACAACGCTTATATAAATGGACTCCTTGTAACTCTGCAGACTGTACTCTCAGTTAGGTTACTTATATCACCTCAACTAGAAGAGGCCAGAGGGCGAGGTTGGAAACCTGCAAACGGATCGCTCTCCTTTCGCCAACTGATACCAGCGTACAAAATCTATCATATCGCCACGCTTCTAGCTCAATGATGTATCAGAACCCCAACCCCACGGACCACAGGCCACAGAGCCCTCTCGTGGACGCCCGTGCCGAGCAGCATCAGAAGTCAGAACTCAGTACGTTCACTGCAAAGCATACCACAGGCACACTTGTACGCAAAAATAACAGACAGACAAATCAGTTAACCAGGTAATTGTCTTGGGCTCTTGGCAACAACAGTCAACAGAACGACACAATGAACACATACAACGAACAAGAAATGCATCATCAAAGTATAGCATGTGCAACGACACACAAACTAGATACTGTTGCACACAACACACGGATGACAGCTACCTTCACTCGTCAGAGTCACCATCCAAATCAAAGTCAGAATCATCAGTCAACTCCACCACTTCATCCTCAGGATCGCTATCAGTAACATAGACAGGCTTCTTGGTGGCCCTGGCTGTCCTTCTAGGTTGTGCTGCACCAACTGGCTCTGCAGAGCTGCCAGAGGGTGGTGAAGCTTCAGCAGTAGTTTCAGAGCTTGCAGAAGCGGCAGTCGAGCCCCTCTGTAAGATTGAGCCACTCTTCTTGTTGAAGGGAGAGGGCCTCATCTTCCGGACCTTCTTCTCAGGGCTGGTGTTGTTAGCCTCAATGGCCTGGAGCATCTCATCTATTTTCTTCTGCGTTGCCTTGCCCTGAGCCGGTGCCCTTTTCCTGGTGGCAGGAGCCTTCGGCTTCACAGCAGCAGCAGGCTTCTTTCCTCTACCTTTCTTCTGAGCTTGGACCTCTGAGACTTCCTCCAGTGTAAAATCATCATCCTCGTCATCAGATGGTATCATCGCCAAGGATGACGATGCCGCCTTCTTTCCTCCACCTCTTTTGCTTGGTCCCTTAGTCGCCAGTTTTTCATTCTGCTCTTCTGTTGTTTCAGTTTCCATAGCTGCAAATTTCCATCAGCTCAATTTTTTTAAACAGAGAACTCTCCTTTTTATCATTCAAATACAACAAGTTGGTTGAATGTGTTTTGGCAGTACCAGAATGATCCGGAGAGGAGTCATTGAAACTTAAAGCAGCAATACGGTCTTTTAGTGAAGGCATGTCAACTTCCTCTTCATCCACCGGAGCCTGTGAGATTTTCACATTTCAGTTGTAAATAAAACCAATTAAAAAGATATTACACACAAACTAGTTAAATAGATAGTTTTGAGAATCTTATTTTATTAGATTGTTTCTTTTGGTGTTCACGTTTTGGATTCTCAGCTACATAATCTTCGTCATCAGACCCAGAACCATTTGCCTTAGAAACTATAACTATTTTATCAGCACAGTGCAACTAAAAAGTACTTAGTCAACTCAAGGATTAGCATGTTAGATTATAACCTTCTTGGATGCTTTCTTCCGTTGAGCTCCACGCTTTGGGACCACTGGTTCAACCACATCATCATCTGTGACAGGCGATCAGAGTTTCAACATTGGTTCAGAGTTCAAACAGAGCTAATCAATCATTTCCATAGGAATGCCACAGGAAACTTTGTGCAGTGGAGGAATAACAGATACCTTCTGTATCGCTTTTCTCCT